TCCACCCCTGCATGACCCTCTCCCTCCACCCCTGCACAACCACTTCCCTCCTCCCCTGCACGACCCCCTCCACCTCTGCACGGCCCCCTCCCCCCTCCACCACTACAAGTCCCCTCCCCCCACCTCGGCACACCCCCCTCCCTCCACCCCTGAACGACCTTCCTCCACCCCTGCACAACCCCTCCCTCCACTCCTTTATGACTTCCTCCCTCCACCCCTGCACCTCTTCCTCCACCCCTGCACAATCCCTTCCTTCACCCCTGCACGACCGACCCCCTCCTCCACCCCTGCACGACCCCCTCCCTCCACCCCTGCACGCTCCCTCCCTCCACTCCTGCATGCCCCCCCTCCAACCCTGCATGCTCTCTTCCTCCACCCCTGCACAGGCCCCTCCCCGTCCACCACTGCAAGCCCCCTCCCTCCACTCCTGCATGACCTCTTCCTCCACCTCTGCACGATCCCCTCCCTCCACCCCTGCATGACCTCCTCCCCCACCCCTGCACGACCTCCTCTCCCTCCACCCCTGCACAACCTCTTCCTCCACCCCTGCACAACCCCTCCCTCCACTCCTATATGACTTCCTCCCTCCACCCCTGCACCTCTTCCTCCACCCCTGCACAATCCCTTCCTTCACCCCTGCACGACCGACCCCCTCCACCCCTGCACGACCCCCCTCCCTCCACCCCTGCACGCTCCCCTCCCTCCACTCCTGCATGCCCCTCCCTCCAACCCTGCATGCGCTCTTCCCCCACCCCTGCACAGGCCCCTCCCCGTCCACCACTGCAAGCCCCCTCCCTCCGCTCCTGCATGACCTCTTCCTCCACCTCTGCACGATCCCCTCCCTCCACCCCTGCATAACCTCCTCCCCTACCCCTGCACGACCTCCTCTCCCTCCACCCCTGCACAACCTCTTCCTCCAACCCTGCATGACCCCCTCCCTCCTCCCCTGCACAACCCCCTCCCTCCATCCCTTCACAGGCCCCTCCCCCACCCCTGCACGACCCCCTCCATCCACCCCTGCACAGGCCCCTCCCCCACCCCTGCACGCCCCCTTTCTCCACCCCTGCATGACCCCCTCCCTCCACCCCTGCACGACTCCCTCCCTCCACCCCTGCACGACCCCCTCTCCATCTCTGCACACCACCCTCCTCCCACCCCCCGCAAGACCCCCTCCCTCCACCCCTGCACGACCTCCTTCTCCACCCCTGCACGACCTCCTCTCTTTCAACCCCTGCACAACCTCTTCTTCCACCCCAGCACGACCCCCTCTCTCCTTCCCTGCACAGGCCCCTCCCCCTCCACCACTGCAAGCCCCCTCCCCCCTCCCCTGCACAGTCTGTTTCCTTGCAAAACCCCATCCTCTCCACTCTGATATGGCCCCTTCATCCCTGCACAGACACTACTCCTCTTCACCCTTACAAAGACTCCCCTCCCCTCCACCCCTGCGTGGTCCTGTCTCCCCTATCCCTGGATGGCCCTCCTCCCCTCGCCTCTGCAGAGACCTCCCTCCGTTTCATTCCTGCACGGACCCTCCCCTTCACCCTGGGGGCTCCCCTGAACCCCTGCAGGCCCCTTCCTTTCAAGCCCAGCACAGGCCAAATCCCAGCCCTTTCTCTGGGAGCACGACTCGGCACCCCACACCAACACACCTTAGGAGGTGGCCAGAGAGCCCAGCATATGGGGGGGGGGGGGGCTGTGTGTCTCCACGGCAGGCCCTGAGCCTGGCCATTCCACACGGTAGGACACACCAGAGCACCCGTATTTCTCAGGACACACAGCGGGGAGCAATGCGGCATCCACACCCTGGGCAGGGGGACAGACTCCACAGGACAGACGCTGCTCAGGGATACGTGGACAGGAAACGGGCCTCGGGACACCGAGCAGCTTCTGCCCGCAAAGGGACCGGCAGCCAGAACCCAAGGAGTCCCCAGGTCACCTGACAAAAGGGCCGGGATCTAGATACGAGAAACGCTGGCCGAGTTGGACAGGAGAAGTCCGGCCAGCCCCATCCAGACACGGGGGCACGACAGACACCCCCCTCTCCAAAGACACACAACGGTCAGAGGTGCGTGGGAGAAACCTGGTGTCACTGAGCATCGGGGAACTGACAGAAGAACAACGGGACGCGACCTCGCCTCCTCAGCACGGGAACGGGAAAACCAGCGCTGGCCTGAAGGGGAGCCTCAGCCACCACCGCCAGGCCGGCGTTGTGGGAGAACGGCAAGGCGCTGCCCAGACACGGGCCATGAGCTCTGCCGGGCCCAGCAGCCCACTCAGGTGCCCTCACACGCTCATCCTGATCTGACTTATCCCACTCTGCTCCCCAGTTTCAAATCGGAATCCGGGAGGGGGGCCTATGGCAGGGAGAGATCTGAGGCTAGGGCCTGGGGCGCAGATGGTGGGGATGCGGAAGGCCGGCCCAGGTGACCCCCATCAGAACACCCCCTGCCCCCCTCCCCCATCCGGTTCTCTGCACCCCGGCCCTGTGGCTGACATTTCACAGTGGAAATTCGTGAATCTGCTTCCTGGAACAGTCAACGTGCAAGGTTCACTCCGCCAAGCTTTTCTAGGGCTCGATTGGAGCCGAACACATGACTGAAATGTCAAAGATGGGAGGGACAGTCCAGAGGTTAAAGCATTGGCCAAGCACGTGGCAGACCCCAGCTCAATGCCCCAGCACCAGCCACGGTCCCCAAGCACCAGGAATGACTCCTGAATAGAGCCAGGAGCAGCCCTGAGCATCCCTGGGTGTGTCCTCCCACCCCCCAATAAGCAGATTGGGGACAAAAATGGAGCTGGAGAAGTAGCACTGGAGGGAGGGTGCTTGCCTCGTACATGGCCCACCCGGGTTCGATCCCCGGCATCCCATACGGTCCCCTGAGCACCGCCAGGAGTGATTCCTGAGTGCAGAGCCGGGAGTCAGCCCTGAGCACAGTTGAATGTGGCCTCCCATGAGAGAAAACAAAGCAAAGAAGCAGATGGACATTTCAGAACTGACACCAGCCTGGAAATTCAAAGACAGCAACAACCTTCCTCCACTCCGGCCCTCATTAGTTCAGAATTGTCTGAAGCAGAAATGTTTCCACAGACATTTAATTACTTATGAAGTTTTTATTTATTTATTTTTTCCTTTTTTGGGGTCATACCTGGCGATGCACAGGGGTTCCTCCTGGCTCTGCACTCAGGAGTTACTCCTGGCGGTGCTCGGGGGACCCTATGGGATGCTGGGAATCGAACCCGGGTTGGCCGCGTGCAAGGCAAACGCCCTCACCACTGTGCTATCACTCCAGCCTCCCCCCTTTTTTTAAAAGTAGGAGCACTGCTATTTATTCAGCCATTGATTAAGCTAGGAATCCCAGTCTTTTTTTTTTCTTTTTGAGTCACACCTGGCGATGCTCAGGGCTGACTCCTGGCTCTGCACTCAGGAATCACCCCTGGTGGTGCTCGGGGGACCATATGGGATGCTGGGAATCGAACCCGGGTCGGCCACGTGCAAGGCAAACGCCCTACCCTCTGTGCTATCTCTCCAGCCCCTACTTATGGAGATTTTAAACAATGAAACGTGCATCTGAATGAAGGAAGGGCTAAGACGTCTGAGTTTCCTGGGCTTCACCATCACCAAATTGGAGCGACGCACTTACTTGGTTGAACACCAAAGGCACCTCTTTCTTCTCTCCCACTTTCACGGAGGAGACGGGGAAGGTGGCTGTCCCCAGCGTCTCATCCATGACGTAGTTGGCATCCATCAGCGTGATCTGCGGAGAGAAGACGGCACACCGGCCTTGGGAAACAGCATCTAAGATTTCCACCACCTTGGGCTGCAGCGACAGCACAGCAGGGAGAGTGTTGGCCTGACACACAGCCGACCCGGGTTCGATCCGCAGCATCATCCCATAGGGTCCCCCAAGCACTGCCAGGAGTGACTCCTGAGTGCAGAACCGGGAGTCAGCCCTGAGCAATTCTAGCTCCCTCCAAAAAATAAATGAGATAGATTAGTGTCTGAGAGACAGCACAGCAGGGAGGGCGTTTGCCTTGCATGTGGTTGGCCCTGGTTCGATCCCCGGCATCCCATAGTGATTCCTGAGTGCAGAGCCAGGAGTCAGCCCTGAGCACCACCAGGCGTGGCTCAAAGGCAAAGCGGAACAGATAATGTTCCCTCAAAGGACGGGAGCACAGGGGTCCTGCGGCCCACCAGACCTCTCTATGCCCCGACAGCTGGCCCGGACCCAAGCCCACAGCTGGCCTTCATCCCCCCCACTGCAGAGAGGCAGGGGAGGCCCCTCAGAGCGCCCCAGAACTCACTCACCTCCAACACGTTGTCCTGATTCGGGTCCAGGATGAACTCGAAGGTCTCGTTCCACACGGGGTTCACGTCATTGTTGAGATGCCGGGTTCTCTTCCGGCTGTCCGGGGTGGCCGAGATGAACAGCTCCACGTAGGGGTCAGGGGTGTCCACTGCGGACGGCAGGGGCATGTGAGGAGGTCACCCTGGATGGCTCAGCCCAGGTGGCTGCAGTGACCTGCCCGGTGACCCCCACATGGCCCAGCAGAGAGGGGTCACAATGTGGGAGTCAAGGAGAACCAGCAGGAGCAGAGCTCAGCGGGGGGCTGGCCGGGCACACGGCCCACCTGGGTTAGAGCCTGGCGTCCCACAGGGCCCCTGAGCACCCCAGGAGTGGACCCCTGAGCACAGAGCAGGAGTCAGTCCTGAGCATCATTGAGTATGGCCTCACCCGCGCCCCCAAAAGAGAAACAGAAAAGCAAGACCGCTCTACCCAGCACTGGAGGGAGAACCCCTTGGCTCTGGCTGAGGGGCACTGTCCAGACCTGGGCTGCAGAGCGGGAGGTCTGTCTGCTCCTGCCTCTCCCTCCCCTTCCCTGGGCGCTCAACAATGCTCAGAGCCACAGCCAACGTGAGCAGACGCTGCTCGGGCTCACACCTACTCACTCCCACATCTGCAGTGCACGGAAGGCGAGTGTGGGTGTGAGGTGTTCGGGCGACAGAAAGTGGGCCCCAGACACAGTAACCCCGCACAATATGCCACACCTGCACAAAACCACACCTGTACAATACTGCACCATCCAACACCGCACCTGTACAAAACCGCACCATACAACATCACACCTGTACAATATTGCACCACACAACATCGCACCTGCACAACACTGCACTATACAACACTGTGCCTGTAGGAAGTACCTGGTCCTGGTGTGGCCCACCGTGACTCTCCTACATAGATGTGACAGGGGATTTGGCCATGCAGTGCCCGCAACTTGTCCCAGGGCAGTCCCGGGCACCACACAGAGTTCCCCGAGCACTGGCAAGGAAGACCCTGAGCACAGTCAGGAGTAAGTCCCAAGCACCACTGGATGAAACCTCAAGCCTGATCATAAGAGTCGCACTGTCCTCCCGTTGTTCATCGATTGGCTCGTACGGACACCAGGAACGTCTCCATGGTGAGACTTGTTGTGACTGTGTTTGGCATCTCGAAGATGCCACGGGATGACCTGGGCCCTTCCTGGCTGACCTCAGCCGTGTTGGCTCGGGACCCAGCCAAGAACCATCTCAGCTCCCCCTCTCCTATTTTAACATAGCCGACCAGGGTTCAATCCTCGGCATCCCATTGGGTCGCCCGAGCACTGCTAGGAGTAATTCCTGAGTGCAGAGCCAGGAGTGAACTCTGAGCACAGAGCCAAGACCTTGAGCACAGGATCAGGAGTCATCCCTGAGCACAGAGCCAGGAGTCAGCCCTGAGCGCAGAGCCAGGAGTCAGCCCTGAGCACAGAGCCGGGCGTCACTGAGCACAGAGCCAGGGGTCAGCCCTGAGCACCACCAGGTACTCCTCAAAACCCAAAATTTATAAAGGGATAGAAATAAAAATAAATAAATTTCGGGCCTTCAGAGGACATGGAACCAAGATCCTTTCCAGGGGAAAGGACAGAAGTTCCCCTGCGGCAGAGGGATAAGGCAGCATCAGACCCACACTCAGAGCTGAGGGAGCAGAAGCCCGAGCACTGTGCGGGGAGGGGAGAGCCGGCCTCGGTGGGAGGCGAGCTTAGGGTTCTGGTGACTTAGCGTTTACAGAAACGGCAGAATTCTGTGCCGCTTGCGTGAGAAGCGGCGTGACTACATTGTGGAAGAATCTCAGGATTTATGAATGTAATCAGGCGACAGGTGTGAGGCATTTATGCTTATTTATCTAACCCCCTCACGGACAATGTCTGGACTCATGAAAATCCTCTGTAGAGAAAAAAACATAATCTCAGGAATCCGGCTCCACTGTGACTATTTGGTCTTTCAAGGTTCATAAATACTCGTTTTGGAGGATCTAGTTTGGGGGTCAGTGTCTGCATAAGCTGAACTGCTAGTTTGGGTTTGTCTTGGTTCTGGGGTTACCCCTGAGCCGCTCCTGGCCCTGCACTCAGGAATCCCTCCTGGCAGTGCTCGGGGGACCCTTTGGGATGCCGGGGATAGGATCTGGGTTGGCCGCGTGCCAGGCAAATGCCCTCCCCACTGGGCTATCGCTCCAGCCCCAAAGGAACCAATCTCGGTGTCGGAAGGAAGGAGTGACTGTCCAGCTGTCCAGGCACCGGGCAGCAGGTGGACACGGGCCCCCTCAAACCGCCAGAGCCGAAACCCTCAGAAGCAACCTTGTGCCTCTTTAAAGAAAGACGCCTGCAGGGGAGAGGAGCGGAGAGAAGAGGTGTGGGCGTCTCCCGGAATCCCAGAGCTCAGGTCAGCCTCTGCTGGCTCTGTCCTTACCGCTAAGGAGTCTGCTTGGTTTTGTTGTTGGTGTTGTTGTTTGTTTGTTTTGTTTTGTTTTTTACTTATTTATTTTGTTATTAGTGAGACACCATGAGGTACGGTTGGAAAACAGTATGGACGATTCTCAAGAAATTAGAAATCGAGCTCCCATTTGACCCAGCAATACCACTCCTGGGAATATATCCCAGAGAGGCAAAAAGATATAGTGGAAGTGACGTCTGCACGTGTTTGTTCACTGCAGCACTGTTTACAATAGCCAGAATCTGGAAAAAAACTGAGTGCCTGAGAACAGATGACTGGTTAAAGAAACTTTGGTACATCTACACAACGGAGTAGTATGTAGCTGTTAGAAAAGATGAAGTCATGAAATTTACATACAAGTGGTACTACATGGAAAGTATCATGCTAAGCGAAATGAGTCAGGAAGAGAGGGACAGACATAGAAAGATTGCATTCATCTGGGGGACATAAAGTAACAAAATAGGAGATTAATACCCAAGAATAGCCGAGATCAGTACCAGGAATTTTACTCCATGGCTTAGAGGCCAGACAGACATGCTAGGGGAAAAGGGAGCTCAGATAGAGAAGGGAGCACCAAATAAAGGGTGTTGGGAGGATCCTCCCAGGAGGGGAGATGCATGTTGAAAGTAGACTATAGACCGAACAGGATTGCCACTCAATGCCTCTTTTGCAAACCGCAGCACCCCAAAGGAGAGAGAGAACAAAAGGGAATGTCCTGCCGCATAGGCAGGGTGGGATGGGGGGGATGGGTGGTGGGAGGGATATTGGGATTCGTGGTGGTGGAAAATGGGCACTGGTGGAGGGATGGGTATTTGATCATTGTATAATCGAAACTCAAGCACAAAAATCTGTAAGTCTACAACTGTACCTCATGGTGTTTCACTAATAAAAATTTAAAAAAAAAAAGAAATTGAACTCCCATTTGACCCAGCAATACCACTCCTGGGAATATATCCCAGAGAGGCAAAAAGGTATAGTCGAAGTGACATCTGCACTTGTTTGTTCATTGCAGCACTCTTTACAATAGCCAGAATCTGCTTGTTTGTGTTTAAGATTTCTGGGTTTTGCTAGAAAAACCAGTTTTGGTTTTGGTGGTGGGACCAGAACGTGCTCAGGGCTGACTCCTGACTCTGCATTCAGGGGTTCATCCTGGGGGTGGAGCTCTGCAGACCCTCCGGGGTGCAAGGCCAATGCCCGCCCCACCGTCGCAGCCCCTCCTGGAGAACTTCCATAAGCAAGCACGCCCAACTCCGCCCGCGGTGTTCTAAGGAACCAGGCTTCCCATAATCGCATGGGCACTGGTGGAGGGATGGGTACTCGATCATTTTATAACTGAAACCCAAGCACAAAAATTTGTAAGTCTACAACTGTACCTCATGGTGTTTCACTAATAAAAATTAAAAAGAAAAAAAAAGAATGTTAGCACAGAGGTAGGGTGTTTATCTTGCACACAGCCGGCCAGGCCGAGCCGGGTTCAATTCCTTTGCCCCACTCGGAGAGCCCGGCAAGCTACCGAGAGGATCTCGCCCGCACAGCAGAGCCTGGCAAGCTCCCCGTGACGTGTTCGATGTGCCAAACACAGTAACAACAAGTCTCACAACGGAGACGTTACTGGGCCCACTCGAGCAAATCGATGAACAACCGGAGGACTGTGACCGTGACCGTTATCCCACCACCTGCCACCATGACAACTTCTCAGAGACTCCGCGTCTGGGGTTCCACTTGACCCTTCACCTTTTGCACTGACCTCACGAGAGTCCTTTTCCCTCTTCTGGATTCCCACAAATTCAGTGACAAGGAGGGACTGGCTACCAAGTTTCTGTCTCCTGCCCCCCCCAAAAAAAAACCCTCAATAATAAAAAATATGGGATAACTTAAGTAAAGTAAAAAAGTAAAAAGGGCTGGAGCGATAGCACAGCAGGTAGGGCGTCTGCCTTGCACGCAGCCAACATGGCCGCCCCGAGTTCGATTCCTCCGCCCCTCTCGGAGAGCCCGGCAAGCTACCGAGAGTATTCGATATGCCAGACACAGTAACAACAAAGTCTCCAATGGAGACGTTACTGGGCCCGCTCGAGGGATAACTTAAAGTAAAAAAAAAAAAAAACCAAGTTACAGATCTGGTCACAATTTAATGATCCTTCTCCCTCTCCCGCTCCTTTCCTTGACGTAGAGAAGTAACTGGATAACATCTTTAAGAGAAATTTTTTGAGTTCCTACTATGCTTGGCTTCATTTTTGTTGTTGTTTTTTGTGTTTTCTTTTTGGGTCACACCCGATGACGCTCAGGGCTTCCTCCAGGCTCTGAACTCAGGAATCACTCCTGGCGGTGCTCGGGGGGACCCTATGGGATGCTGGGAATCAAACCCGGGTCGGCCGCGTGCCAGGCCAACACCCTCCCCACTGTGCTATCACTCCGGCCCCTCATATTATTAATATTATCATCATTATTATTATTATTATTTGCTTTTTGGGTCACACCCAGTGATGTTCAGGGCTGACTACCAAGTCTGCACTCAGGAATCACTCCTGGTGGTGCTCGGGGGACCCTATGGGGTGCTGGGAATCGAACCCGGGTCGGCCATGTGCCAGGCCAACACCCTCCCCTCTGTGCTATCGCTCCAGCCCCCACATGGCTTTATTTTTTAAAGTCTCTTCTGTGAAACGAAAAGACACAAAACCACACTTTTTTAAAATTTTTTTTGAGTGTTCTAACTTGGTCCTTTCCCCAAACACAACTGGTTTCCAGCGGCCCCTGTGTTTACCATTTATTTTTACTTATGCGGTTTTGAGCCATACCCAGTGATGCCCAGGATGGAGCCTGCCAGGGCCCAAGGGACCGTCTGGGGGCTGGAGACCAAGGCTGGGCCGGCCACACGCACGCGGAGTAGCCACCCGCTGGACCTGCTCTCCAGCCCTGGGTCATCCTCTCTGAAGAGGGACCGGAGGTGAGCGTAAGCCCCGTGCACCCCCAATAAGTAAAAAGAACCAGTGATCTCCTGGTCTGATAGCAAGCTCCCCGCGATTCCAGCTTGCCGAGCATGCCCACTCTCTGTCCCTGCTCTGAGCTGAGGCAGGGCAGCTGAAGTGTGGCCACCTTGGTGCTACTGATGGCCAATCTCCGCCTGAGAAGCAGCAAGAGCCCGTAGCGGGCTCCAGCAGCTTCAGCAGCCCAGCCTCAGCCATGCCCGCCCCGTCCAGCTGGCTAGCCAGAGGCCCGACTGCTTTGCATTGGGTGGCGGGCGGGTCTCACAGTCAAATGAGGCCAGCAGCTGGCCAGGGAGAGCCAGCAGGGCGGGGCAGCTCCACGTGGGAGAAGCCAAGCAGAGCGGCCGCCGCTGGCCACTGGCCAGGGCTGGCCAGAGGGACGAGAGGAAGATGCCATCCAGGACACAGGGACTGGCCCCTCCCCTCCCCTGGGCGCTCATGGGGGCCTCCACCACTGGTGGGAGGGGCCCAAGGCTGGGGGGAGGGGACCGTGTGCGTCCAGCTAACACCCAGTCACCCGGAAGTACCGTGGGAGCTGTGAGCTCCTGCAAGGCCTGGACGTCTGGTGCCCTGCCCTGTTGGGCAGCCCACAGCCGGCCACTCAGAGAGCATCTTGGTCGGGGGAGCAGCTCACAGAGAAGCTTCAGGAAGCCGAGCACAGCGGGGAGGAGGGGTGTGCCCTACACAAGGCCGCCCCAAAGGACCCTGATCCCCGCCAGGAGTCAGCCCTGAGCACTGCAGGGAGTGAGCCCTGAGCACAGAACCGGGAGTCAGCCCTGAGCACAGATCCAGGAATCAGCCTTGAGCACAGAGCCTGGAGTCATCCCTGAGCACTGCAGGGAGTGAGCCCTGAGCACAGAACCGGGAGTCAGCCCTGAGCACAGATCCAGGAATCAGCCTTGAGCACAGAGCCTGGAGTCATCCCTGAGCACTGCAGGGAGTGAGCCCTGAGCACAGAACCGGGAGTCAGCCCTGAGCACAGATCCAGGAATCAGCCTTGAGCACAGAGCTGGGAGTCATCCCTGAGCACTGAGCCAAGAGTCATCCCTGAGCACAGAGCTGGGAGTCAGGCCTGAGCACAGAGCCAGGAGTCAGCCTTGAGCACAGAGTCGGGAGTGAGCCCTGAGCACAGAGCCGGGAGTGGGCCCTGAGCACAGAGCTGGGAGTCAGCCCTGAGCACTGAGCCAGGAGTCAGCCTTGAGCACAGAGCCAGGAGTCAACTCTGAGCACAGAGCCCAAAGTGATCCCTGAGCACTGAGATGGGAGTTGTTCCTGAGCACTGATTCGGGAGTCAGACCTGAGCACTGAACTGGGAGTCAGCCCTGAGCACTGAGCCGGGAGTCAGCCCTGAGCTCTGCCAGAACCAAAGAAAAGCATTCCAGGAGCCAGTAGGAAAGGCTCAGCCCTGGAGAATGAGCCTCCCCAGAGGGCAGAGCCCGGCCCCAGAGACCCAGTGAGAGCAACGTCATGTCCCAGCTGAGAGGGTTGCCCAGAATGCACACGGGGTCCCACAGGGTCCCCCCAAACAGGCCCTGCCCGGGGCTTCTCCGGGGATAAGAGGTGCCAGGTCGGTTGGGGGGGAAGGCTCGGGACCCCCTTCCTGCTCTCATCTCGGCCTCGGCTGGGTTCTGTTTGGGGGCCCCACCCCCCCACACCCAGCTGGCTGTGTGCAAGGCTGACGCCCCCCCAACCCTGTGCTGTCTCTTCACAGGGGGCTGGTCCGGGCTCCAGCCCTATCAAGGCCTTTGGCGTCCCTAATCTTATCAGGGGCCTAGAGATCAGAGAGGGCCTCAGGGTCCCCAGGGCCCAGCACCCTCAGGCTGCTCTGGGTCTGGGATTGCCGGAGGGGGCAGGGGGGTGCTCTGTACCGGCCTCGGGCCTATACGTCCCTGCCCAGTGCCACTGCCAGGGTGCCAGGGTGCCCGCCTCACCCTCTGCCTGCTTCAAAGGAGCGACCACATTCACAGATCCGAGGGACTCCCACCTCACGCCCAAGGAGCCCAGATACTAGGTTTGAACCGTTTTTTGGGTTTTTTTTTTTTTTTTTTTTTTTTTTTTTGCTTTTTGGGTCATTTCCGGTGATGCTCAGGGCTGACTCCTGGCCCTGCACTCAGGAATTATCCCTGGCGGTGCTCTGGGGACAACATGGGATGCTGGGATTCAAACCCGGGTCGGCCTTGTGCAAGGCAAACGCCCTCCCCGCTGTGCTATGGCTCCAGCCCCTGTGTTTTTTTTGTTTGTTTGTTTTGCTTTTTGTTTTTTTTGGTTTTTGCACACGGTGCATTTCCAATGTCTGTCGGAACAAATGTGGAAAAGGGGAGGGCCAGGGAGGGGAGGGGAGGGGAGGGGAGGGGAGGGCCAGGGAGGAGCGAGTACACAGGGAGGTCCCTGCCCAGTCCCATCCCTGGCATTGCTGAAGGGATCTCTGAGCACCGAGTCGGGAGCCGGCCCTGAGCGGGGGACGCAGGCTCTGCCCGACCCAGCTCTCCATGGGCCAGGGACCGTCTAGACAGCAGAGCCAGGACACCACCCTGTCCATGAGGGTCAGCCTGCCCGCCCAGCCTGCCTACTACCAGGCCAGGACACCCGTGTCAGGCCCACCAAGTGGACCCTGGTCGTGCCCTGAGGCGGCCCAGCAGAGTCTGGGGGGCCTGGGCAAGGCAAGGCCCAGGAGACGGCAGGTAAACCCCCCACACTGGCACTCGGGCAGCGAAGAGGGGCCCAGCTGGCCTGGCCACTGCGGGGCGACCCTGGGCTCCGCGTCTCCGCAGGAAACTTACGCAAGTCCCCGAAGGCGCCTTTGGTCACCTTGGTGGCCCGGAGCACTGTCACGGTGAGCTTGTGGGAGTACTGGTGCTCCACCTGCAAAGAAGAGACACGGTCACTCCACGTCCCGGGGGTGGGCAGCACACGGCCCCTCCCCGGCCACGGGCAGAGCCAGCGCACGCACCAGAAACATCTTCCAAGGCTGCAGATTGAGGACGGGAGGGAGGGCTGAGATCGTGCTTCAGAGTGACCCAGGCCCGGCCCGGGGCCCAAGAGGAGGCTGGGACAGGCCTGTGGCCACAGACCAGGAAGTGACACCTCCTGAGGCCCGGCGAGTTTGCATGCCACACTCGGGTTTGTTTCACTGTTTCTGGCCCCCGAGGGCCGGGCTGTCCCCTCCCCACCTGGCTCCGGGCCACACCCTGCATTGTTCAGCTCAGCTGTGCTCCGGGACCCTCCTCCGGCAGTGCTGGGAGATTGACAGCACCCAGGACCAAGCCCAGCTAGGTCCCGTGCAAGCCAGCGGCCCTAGGGCTCGATTTTCCTGAGTGACACCAGGAGACAGAACAGCTTCAGAACCTTTTATCCAGCGGGCTGGGGCCCAGCCAGCGCTCAGCACTTACTCCTGGCTCTGTGCTCGGGAGTCTCACCTATGGGCGCTCGGAGACCCCCGCATGGGGCTGGAGATTGAACCTGGGCCGGCTGCACGCCTGGCTGTGATAAGGGTCCGCCCTGCACTGGTCATTGCTCCTCAAACAGGCCACAAATGGCTGTTAAGATTAACTCTGGGGGCTGAGAGATAGCACAGCGGGTAGGGCGTTTGCCTTGCACCCGGGTTCGATTCCCAGCATCCCATATGGTCCCCTGAGCACCGCCAGGTGTGACCCAAAAAGCAAAAAAAAAAAAAAAAAAGATTAACCCTGAAGAGAAGCATGCTGAAAGTAGACTATAGACCAAACATGATTGCCACCCACTGCCTCTTTTGCAAACCACAGCACCCAAGAGGAGAGAGAGAACAAAAGGGAATGCCCTGCCACAGAGGCAGGGTGGGATGGGGGGATGGGGGGTGGGAGGGATACTGGGATCCGTGGTGGTGGGAAATGGGCCCTGGTGGAGGGATGGGTATTTGATCATTGTATAATCGAAACCCAAGCACAAAAATCTGTAAGTCTACAACTGTACCTCATGGTGTCTCACTATTAAAAATGTAAAAAAAAAAAATCTAATAAAATTTAGAGTTAATAGAGTTAATAGCAAAGGGGAAAAAAAAAGATTAACCCTGAAGCACTGATCGGAAACTACATGCGGCAATGAAAGAAAAGCTTCTCACGTGAAGAGTTCTCGCCGTCAGAGAATCAATACTACAACGACAACTAGGACAAAACATGATTTGGACAAACAGTGCTAACTTACTGAACGCCTCACCTAGCTAACTCAGCACCCAACAATTTCACCCACTCGGAGAGGAAGCAGGAAATCTGTGTTTGGGGAGTGGCTGAGAGTTTATCTTGAAGCCTGGGCACTTTGCTTAATCCTAGGGAAGGCTCACATTTTTTAAGCTACTATTTATTAAATGAAAATAAATATAAGGTCTCTTGACTAAAGAGTTATCTTGACTAAATTTGCGGACTTGCTTAATGATTAAAAACTCTGGGGCCTGAAGCCAGAGAAACAGCGGGGAGGGTACTTGCCTTGCATGTGGCTGACCTGGGTTCGATCCCTGGCACCCCACAGGTCCCCTGAGCACTGTCAGGGGTGATTCCTGAGCGCAGAGCCAGGAGTCCAGGTGTGACCCAAACATCCCCCTTAAAAAATATAACATAGGGGCTGGAGTGATAGCATAGCAGGTAGGGCGATTGCTTTGTACGCAGTTGACCGGGGTTCGATCCCCGGCATCCCATATGGTCCCCCAAGTAACCAGGAGTGATTCCTAAGCGCAGAGCCAGGAGTAACTCCTGAGCATTGCCAAGTGTGACCCAAAAAGCAAAATAATAATAATAATAAAATAATAAAATAAAAATTAAAAGTATCATTAAAAAATAACATAAAAACTAACTAAATACAAGCCACAGGGAAGCTTTGAAACTAAATGAAACTTATTTGAAACTAAATGAAAATAAACCTCCATTGTACCAAGACTTGAGGGCCGAAGTGACAGCATTCCTATGAAAGACCTTAAAATCGACCATCCAGTGTCGATTTTAGGAAACTCAAGAATGAAGGGTTGCGATAAATCCAAACTAAGCAAAAGAAAAACCTGAAACTTAGAGAAAAACATAGAGAAATTAATAGAGAAAAATCACTGAAACCAAAAGCTGGGTCCTAGAAAAGATTGATCATACCCTAGACGAATGTAATCTTTCCTCTCTGACTCATAAAAATAAAAAAAAATTTTTAAAAATTTAAAAAAGGCCCTCCCGTTGATCGTCAATTTGCTCGAGCGGGCCCAGTAACGTCTCCATTGGAGACTTTGTTGTTACTGTGTCTGGCATATCGAATACTCTCGGTAGCTTGCCGGGCTCTCCGAGAGGGGCGGAGGAATTGAACATTGATCCTTTTGTGACTCTCAATGTCGAAGAGGTTTCAAACTCCAACTCTACTGTAAAGGTAAAGGCCCGATTTGCTCGAGCGGGCCCAGTAACATCTCCATTGGAGACTTCGTTGTTACTGTATCTGGCATATCGAATACTCTCGGTAGCTTGCCGGGCTCTCCGAGAGGGGCGGAGGAATCGAACTCGGGTCGGCCATGTTGGCTGCGTGTAAGGCAGACGCCCTACCCGCTGTGCTATCGCTCCAGCCCTAAAAAAAGGGCTGATGCAAATTGCGTGATAAAAAAAATGATCATACCCTAGCCAGGAAACATGAAAAAAACACCCATTACAAGTACCATTAATGCATGAGGGAAATTTACTACAGATACTACAGTTCAAAAGTAGAGGAGAGGGCTGGAGCAGTAGTCCAGCGGGGAGGGCGTTGGCCTGGCATGCGGCCAACCGGTTCGATCCCTGGCATTCCATAGGGTCCCCCCCAAGCACTACCAGGAGTGATTCCTGAGTGCAGAGCCAGGAGTCAGCCCTGAGCATTGCTGGGTGTGACCCAAAATGCCAAAAATAAATAAATAAAAATAAAGAAGGGCTGGGGCAACAGATAAGCAGGGAAGGGATTACCTTACATGCAGCCAACCCGGGTTCGATTCCCCAGCACCCTCCAGGGTCCCCCTGAGCCCCACCTGGAGTGACCTCTGAGTACAGAGCCAGGAGTCAGCCCTGAGCATCGCTGGGTGTGACCCCCAAACAAACAAACAACAAGGATAATAAAGGAGTATTACATTTGATAAGCAGATAAAATGCACCAGTTCCAAAGACAAAATAAGAGGGGTTGGAGCGATAGTACAGCGGGAAGGGCGTTTGCCTTGCATATGGCCGACCTGGGTTCAATTCCCAGCATCCCCTAGGGTCCCCCGAGCACCGCCAGGAGTGATTCCTGAGTGCAGAGCCGGAAGTCAGCCCTGAGCATCGCCGGCTGTGACCCAAAAAGCAAAGAAAAAAACAAAAGACATAATAGAGCCAAAGAAGAAGTAGAGGCAGGTCCTCCGACTGGTCTTGAAAAAACACGAATAATAAAAGCCAGGGGCTGAGAAAGAGTAGCTGGCCAAGGACAGGCTCAGCCAGGGGTCACTCCTGAGCACAGAGCCAGGAGCAGCCTGTGAGCTGGGCCCACCCCCAAACCCAAAACCAAATAGCAACAAAAAAATACAGCAGGGACCCGGATTCAGGCTAGTGGAGTCTAAGGCCCGAGTTGGAGCCCCGTAAGAAAGCAGAAAGTAAAATTCAAAATCAAAGAGAAATGGTCGGACAAGCACAACCACTAGGATGAAGGAGACGTTACTGGGGCCTGCTCAAGGCAATCGACGAACAACAGGATGGTCGTGATCGTGATCGTGAAATAATATTTACATTAAATCACTGTATCACTGTCATCCTGTTGGTCATCGATTGCCTCGAGCAGGCTCTAGTAACGTCTCCTATGTCCTAGCCCTGAGATTTTTAAAAGTGCCACATTCAAGGCTCTTTCAGGGTCAAGACCCATCATTGTTACTGGTTTTTGGCATATTGAATACACCACGGGGAGTTTGCCAGGCTCTGCCGTGTGGGCAGGATACTTTTGGTAGCCTGTCAGGTTCTCCAGAGTAAGAACTAGATAATAAGATGTCCTAGATAGTCCTAGACCTAGATGATGTAATGTTATATTACATTAAATAATATAAAATAACAGTTATTGTTATATATTAAATGATATTTGTTAAATATTTATTTGAATATTTGTTAAATATTTAGGGCTGGAGCGATAGCACAGCGGGTAGGGCGTCTGCCTTGCACGCAGCCAACATGGCCGACCCGAGTTCGATTCCTCCGCCCCTCTCGGAGAGCCCGGCAAGCTACCGAGAGTATTCGATATGCCAGACACAGTAACAACAAAGTCTCCAATGGAGACGTTACTGGGCCCGCTCGAGCAAATCGACGATCAACGGGAGGGCCTTTACCTTTACCTTGAATAGCTTAGTTTTAAGTAGTTAATGAAATTTTCACCATGAGGAGCCGGAGTGAGCACAGCGGGGAGGGCATTGGCCTTGCATGGTGCAGACCCGGGTTCAATCCCCGGCATCATCCCATAGGGTCCCCCGACCCCCGCCAGCAGTGATCCCTGAGTGCAGAGCCAGAAGTCAGCCCTGAGCATTGCCAGGTGTGACCCAGAAGGCCAAAATCATCATCATCATCATGCAATTGGACAGATAGTCCAGCGGGGAGGGCATTTGCCTTGCACACGGCTGACCAGGGTTCAATCCCCGGCATCATCCCATAGGGTCCCCTGAGCCCCGCCAGCAGTGATCCCTGAGTGCAGAGCCGGGAGAAAGCTCTGAGCATCGCCGGGTGGGACCCCCAAACAAAAACAAAACAGAGAGGCCTTGTTCGAGCTGCTGCAGAGGCCACCGTGCGCCTGGAGGCCTCAGTGTCCGTCTGTCTCATTCTCCGTGACTGACCCTGCTGGGCAGAGGTCAAAGGTCCCCGTCCAATTAGCTGTCCTGCAGGAGACCTCACAGTCACCTCCCACAGGAAATAAGGAAAACCGGGGGCAGGTGCATGAAATCCAGGAACATTTCTGAGAGCGGCAGTGGGGGGTTAATTCTATAAGCCAACCTGACTGGCTGCCCAGTGTCCTCACAAGCCCGGGAGGGCGTGTCCTGGGGAGGCAGCCCAGGAATGCAGACCCCGCACCCCAGGCCAGAGGCTCTAGCCTCCCCTCCCACACCCACGCCCAGGAGAAAACCAACACACAAACACACTTTAAATACAAGGGACAACATGGGTTAAGAACCAAAGGATGGAGCCATTCATTAATCAAAGGACTTATGATGGGTTTATGTTAACACGTGGCAGAGGATATTTGAAACAGGGTCATTGTTAGAGAGAAAAAGAAACCCGAATTTGGATCAAACATCAAAAGAAAGATGAACACTTGGATTTAGTCCAGAAGTTGTATTGAGGCCGGAGTGACAGCACAGCGTGGAGGGCGTTGGCCTTGCACGCGGCCGACCCAGGTTCTATTCCCAGCATCCCATAGAGTCCCCTGAGCACTGCCAGGAGTAATTCCTGAGTGCAGAGCTGAGTGGAACCCCTGAGCACTGCCAGGTGTGACCCAAATACCAAACATCAATTTGCTTGAGCGGGCCCAGTAATGTCTCCATGGTGAGACTTCTTGTTACTGTGTTTGGCTTATTGAATACGTCACGGGGAGCTTGCCAGGCTCTGCCGAGTGTGCGGGCGGGATCCTCTTGGTAGGTTATCGGGCTCTCCGAGAAGGGTGGAGGAATTGAACCTGGGCCGACCAGGTCGGCCGGGTGCAAGGCAAACGCCCTACCCGCTGTGCTATCGCTCCAGCTCCATGATTAGAATGGAGTTAGTAAATGACACAGTCAAGTTTGAATTAATCTTTGCTAAACCTTCACCACCGAGATGTACAGTTAAAACTGCAGAGCCAGGGACAACTGAGGAATAAACACCCCAGAAATGTTCACCTGGGCGAAGCAAGAGCACAGTGGGGAGGGCGTGGGCCTGGCATGTGGCCAACCCGGGTTCGATCCCCGCCATCTCACAGGGTCCCACCCGGGAACCTCCAGGAGTGATTCCTGAGTGCATGAGCCAGGAGGAACCCCTGAACACCCCTGAGTTGTGGCCTCCAAACCAAACAATAAAATAAAACTGCAGTACTATGTAGGATCCTGTTTTGGTAAATAAAACAACTTCTCCTGGGGCCGGAGTGATAGCACAACAGGGAGGGTGTCTGCCTTGCACGTGATCGACCCGGGTTCGATCCCCGGCATCCCCTAGGGTCCCCTGAGCACCGCCAGTAGTGATCCCTGAGCTCAGAGCCAGTAGTCAGCCCTGAGCATCACCGGGTATAGCCAAAGACAGAAAAGGCAGAAATGCACCAACGGGGTCATCCTGTTCCCATCTCTGCACCAACTGACGGGGCTCAGCAGGCAATGGGGATGCTGAGTCAGTGTTCGGGGCGCCTGGCTCTGCCCTCCGACCAGAGGGGGACCTCCAGGAAGCGGGCAGCTCGACCCACTGGGAAACCCAGGCCTGGCACTATCTGGCCTCCCGAAAGCCCGCAGGGCAGCAGGGACTTACTATGATGTGCTGGAAAGGGTCTATGTACGACATTCTGGTCTCTGTGCCGGGAAAGGCGTGTCACTCCGAGGTTTTCTCTGGCGGCCTGACAACCTACAAAGAAAATAGGCACATTGTCAAGCCCCCCTGGGGCGCAGACCCCAGATCGGAAGGACAATCAGTGACCCTGGGCCCCAGGAGAGGAACATTCCCTCCCAGGACTGAATTCCCTGGTCCCCCCCCCCCCCCCACACACACACACACACTCCACAGAAGAGGACCCACACCCACGGCGCAGGGAAAAGCCAACAAATCTTGATATTCCAGTTTAATTTCTGTTTATTTGTTCACACAGATTCTGAGTACTTGTTAGGAAATCCCATAAAAGCATTTTTTCATGGGCCAAGCACCTTATGAGAAATTCATAGGTAAAAGGTAAAGGTAAAGGCCCTCCCGTTGATCGTCGATTTGCTCGAGCGGGCCCAGTAACGTCTCCATTGGAGACTTTGTTGTTACTGTGTCTGGCATATCCAATACTCTTGGTAGCTTGCCAGGCTCTCCGAGAGGGGCGGAGGAATCGAACTTGGGTCGGCCATGTTGGCCGCTTGTAAGGCAAACGCCCTACCCGCTGTGCTATCGCTCCATTCATAAAAATATTTTTTAAAAAAATTATTTTTGGACTGTTTGTCATTTAAAAACCCCGGGTCAAGTTGCTTTTTCTCTGTTTTTGAATCCAGTCAAGATTATGCAATAAAAATAAAATTTTTTTTTTTCAACAGGTGAGATCATTCCACGAGAGCAGGACAAGGGCTCACTCCAGGGCCCTGTTTTGAAGTGTGCTCACCGCCTGTGCTCACCTCCTCTATCCGTCAATCCCCAGCCCACCCCAGCCCTGCTGGGTAGAAGCAGAAGACCACCACCCAGAGAGTGACCCTCAGCACCCATGACTGGACCCTCACATGTTCCTCAAGCTGGCCCAGAGCCACTGCATCAGAACCTCAGGCACCTGCAAAACTTTCCGGTGAAACCCTGACTCTGTCCTGGTTCTTGGGCCCCACCCGCAGTGCCTGGGGGCCCGAGGGGTGCTGGGGGTCAGGTCACATGGGGTCCCCTGTTCTCAAGGCCAGTGCTCTAAGCCCGACCCCTCTGCAGCCCAGCGACGGCCCTTCCAGCCCTTCCAGATACACCCGGGACCCCCGCCCAGCCCCTGGAAGGACCCGTCCAGCAGGTGTGGACACTCCCAGCTCCTGCAGCACCGAGACAGCCCTGCCCACTGTACCACCCTCCCTGGGAGAACACACTCTCCCTCACGGAACTGTCCCAGGACCCGAAATCACACAAGACACACCAGCAACAACAGCAACAAACATGCTCCGACCAGAGGCTGGAGCGATAGCACAGCGGGGAGGGCGTTTGCCTTGCATGCGGCCAACCAGGGTTCGAGTCCCAGCATCCCATATGGTCCCCTGAGTACTGCCAGGAGTAACTCCTGAGTGCAGAGTCAGGAGGAACCCCTGTGCATGGCCGGGTGTGACCCAAAAAGAAAAAAAAATGCTCCGGCCAGATGGACGCTTGTTCCTCCTACCTAGGCGGGGGTGTGAGCGGGCACGGCCAGCTGCCCAGCTCCAGGGGCTGCTGTCCCCCAGGAGGAGGAGTTCAGTGCCCCGTGGACACACACGCCTTCAAGGCAGTCAGGCAGTGGTGGGCAGCTCTGCCCGGTGTGGTCAGCCTGGCCGCTTCCGGGAAGGGGGACAGGAACCAGACCCCAGCACAGAGCCGCCGGTCGCCTAGCAGGGCACCAGGACAGGAGGCCCAGACCACAGGCCCATGCACGGCCCACGAGCTGTTTGTCCCCTGACCCCCAGCCTCCTGCCCTGGATGCAAGGGGACATGGCCACACCCTCAGAGACGGGGGACGGCAGGACGGGAAAATGCACGCGGGTGGCTGACCGACCGCCTACGACAACGACAACAACGGCACCCAACTGGCGTCTGCTCTTCGCTCTGGTCTGGGACACGAGGGCCCCAGGCTGGCTCGGCTCAGGGGCTTTCCTGGCCTCTGCGGTCTCGGAAGGTCTAAGCGGGCAGATTCCCGAGGGGTCTTTGTGTCTCCCCGTAAGCAGGGTGCAGGCAGGTGCGGGTCACTCCCCGGGTTCTCTGTGTTTTCCCCCACACAGGCCACCCACAGAGTCTGCCCTTAGGCTGCCAGGCACCCAGACCACCTGGAACCCATCCCTGACCCCCATGCACCCCCCCAAGCCCTCCAGGAACCAGAGCTCAGCGGATGTGGTCAGAAACAGAACAGAAAGTCCCGGGGTTCCCCAACAACCTCCAAGCACTGCAAGGGCCACAGCTAAAGTCTGAGAGTCAGCGCAGGATGGGGAACAAGGACGGAACAAGGAAGGAGCAGAGCCCCCCCGACGGCAAAACCTCTAGCAGGGCAGGAGTGCAGGGGGCAGGCGCTGCCCGTCCACATGGCCAAACCTGCCTGGATCCCGGCACTCCATAAGGTCCCCTGAGCCGGAGTGAGCCCTGAGCACAGAGCCGGGAATCAGCCCTTGAGCACAGAGCCGGGAGTCAGCCCTGAGCAAAGAGCCAGGAGTGAGCCCTGAGCACAGAGCCGGGAGTGAGCCCTGAGCACAGAGCTGGGAATCAGCCCTGAGCAAAGAGCCGGGAGTGAGCCCTGAGCACAGAGCTGGGAATCAGCCCTGAGCACAGAGCCAGGAGTGAGCCCTGAGCATAGAGCCGGGAGTCAGCCCTGAGCACAGAGCTCCGTGTGCCCAAGTTGCCTCTTCCTCCAGGAAGTTCCCCTGGACCTGTCCCCGGTGAGGGCTGAGATACAACAGGGTCTCTGCACACCTGGGCACAGAAGAACAGGTGACTGAGGAACTGGAGGGGCGGGTCCGAGACCCAGGGAGGGCGTGTGCGGCTGGGTCCTCCCTGGGACATTCCCCGAGGGGGCGCAGGCGACCTCCCGGGCAGAGGGGCTGCCCTCTGCTCTGTCCACCTGCCCCCCGGGGTACTCGGCCCTCCTGGGGCCCAAGGGGGGCTGGACCTGATGCTGGACACACCCTCACCCCGCAGCCCCGGGCGACCCAGGGACCAGCACGGGGGGCGGGACAGACTCGGGGAGGGGCAGGAACAGCCCACTGGGGGCCGAGGCAGGATGGAGACCCCCATGCCCATGCTGGGGGGACACGGCTGAACCCTGTCCGATTCAGTTCTGCTTTCAGACGATGCCCAGTGGTGCTCACTCCAGCTCTAGGCTCAGTGCTCACTCCTGGCTCTGTGCTCAGGGCTGACTCCTGCTCTGTGCTCAGTGCTCACTCTTGCTCTGTGCTCAGGGCTGACTCCCGGCTCTGTGCTCAGGGTTGGCTCCCGGCTCTGTGCTCAGGGCTCACTCCCGGCTCTGCGCTCGGGGGCTCACTCCCGGCTCTGCACTCGGGGCTGACTCCTGGCTCTGTGCTCGGGACTCACTCCCGGCTCTGTGCTTGGGGCTGACTCCCGGCTCTGTGCTCAGGGCTCACTCCCAGCTCTGTGCTCGGGGATGACTCCTAGCTCTGTGCTCAGGGATGACTCCCACTCTGTGCTCAGGGCTCACTCCTGCTCTATGCTCAGTGCTCACTCCTGCAGGGGCCAGGGCCCCCGCCTGGGTCAATGCCATGCAAAGCAGGCGCCCTCCCCGCTGCCCAGCACCTGGCCCCCCTCAGCCCCTGGAAGAAGTTTAGTTAGGGCCGTGCATGAAAGCCTCAGAAGCCAGGAGGGAGGAGGGAGCTCGGGGGGCTTCTGTTTGGAGCGTTTCCCCTTGGCAAGCCATCCTGCCGTGACACCCCTTGCCTGCACAGAGTTAAGTTAGTGTTAGCTAGCTCCGGCCAGCACAGTCTGAGGGTTCTGGCTCTGCAAGCAGTGCTCGCCCGCTCCAGCCAGCACTGTCTGCAGGTTCTGGCTCCGTAAGCAGTGCTCGCCCGCTCCAGCCAGCACCGGCTGTGGGTTCCAGCTCAGGTGGGGCCCACCCCCTCCTCCATGGCTGGCTCTCCCTGCCCCATGCCAGATTGTCCCCGTTCACAAACCATGTTCCGCTCCCTGAAGCCAGCGAGGGGAACCCAGGACCCCAGGCTGCAGGTCCTGAGTCATCCTTCCCGAGGCCACGTCTGCCTGTAGCTCCCGGGGGCTCCCTGGGGGTCTGGCTGTCCCGGAGGAGGGAACCAAGCAGGAGACACAGAAGAAGGCAAAGGTGCTGGCTGGCAGCAGTGACCCGGCCCACCCTGAGCACTGGGCTGGGAGGGCGCCCAGAGCCTCCATTCCAAGGCCCTGGACCCAGGGAGCTTCTGTACCCGGGGCCAAAGCCCCTCTCCCCACACACCCTCGGAGCCCCAGACCCACTGGGTCGCCCTGCCGCGGCCATGGCCTGGGGCTCCCCCAGCCCAAGGGGCTCTGGCCGCACCCTGGGGTGCTGGGCCCACACCCGAAGCTGCCAACAGTGCCACAGCTGGGCAGCCCCTCTGCCCCCTGGGCCTGGGCAGGCACTGGGGCTCCACCCCGCGGTGGGGGTCCCCAGCACTCAGTGGGGGTCCCCACCCCGCAGTAGGGGGTCCTTACCTCAAAGCATGGGACCCCACCCTCAGTACTGGGGTTCCTCGGGCCACACACAGGTTGGCTGGGGCAGGACCCTCCTCCCTCCACCTGCCCAGGGTCCGGCCCCTCAAGTGGGCATCTCCCCACAGCTTGGCCAGCGCCACCCACCTGCTGGCACCACATCATGGGCGCCGTGCGCTCTCCTGCCTGTGCTCACTTCCGTTGTACTCACTTCCGCTCTCTTCCTCTTGTCCACTTCTACTAACTTCCTCCCTACTCACTTCCACTGTACTCACTTCCACTTCTACTCACTTCCTCCCTACTCACTTCCACTGTACTCACTTCCACTTCTACTCACTTCCTCCCTACTCACTTCCGCTTGTACTCACTTCCGCTTGTACTCACTTCCTCCCTACTCACTTCCGCTTGTACTCACTTCCTCCCTACTCACTTCCGCTTGTACTCACTTCCACTTCTACTCACTTCCTCCCTACTCACTTCCGCTTGTACTCACTTCCGCTTG